TGGTTGCCCGCAAGGCAGAAGGAAATCCTGTTCAGGGGCCGTCTACAGAGCAGGGAGCGGCGCGTGTTCGCACAAAGGAGTATCCTCGCCCTACCGAAGGCGAGCCATTTGCGATGAGGGGGGGGGGAGCAGTGTCAGAATACGGAACACGAAACGGGCGAATTTTTACGTTTGATCGTGTCTTCGAAATGCTGTTTAACACAAGATCCGAAAGCTCGGAGGAGTAAAACACAAATACAGATTCAAATTCAAATACAAATTCCAGACGCATTGGCCGAGGTCATCCCCCCCCCCATACACACACACAAATCGCTACGCAATGACCCTACGTAAAGAGACCATACACAACAGGCCACTTTTTTCTTTGACACGCACTCCTGGTTTTCTGGCAAGTTCAATCTCCAAGCTCCGGGTTTATTCTGGTTCGATACATTTCACTATATTCTTTGTTTTATAATTACGCTAATATAACTATATCCTTTAGTAGAAAACACTTAACTTGTTGTAGGACAGTGGTATTGTAAATTGTAATATATATCTATATATTCAATAAATCATTTTATCAGACTTTTTATAGAAAAAAATATTAAGTAATTGAGTAAATAAATTATATTAATAAGGAAATAAAATATTTTATTTTGTAAGAGGTTTGGGTTCCATTCAAAATTTTCAGGGGGCCCTAGGTTCGTTGTAACCCCCTGTGCGCCCGCGTATAAGTATATATGTTTAGATTATTCACATTTAATTGTTATTTTATGATACTTTCCAAAACACTCTCACTCCAGAACAATCGGATAGAAAATAGGGTTTCAGGTGGAAGAGGAAAAGATTTAGAAAGAGTCATTTAAAAGTTCGTATTCACTATCGTCAGTCACAGAAAATACCACTTTACCTTTATCTCGCAAGGTTAAACAAAGGAAAACATATTTACATTTATGTTACGCCCCCTGAAGTGACTCAGTTCATCAGTTGATGTCACTGAGCCTCTGACCAGGAGGTCCTTGGGTTCGAGTTCTACGGTGACTGGATTTTCGACACTAGCTTGTCAGCTACGACGAATTCTGCCGCTGCCTGGAGGAGAATTCTAGCAGCCGGATGTTCTGATCGGTAGTTTTACGAGGTTTCTCCCATCAGCAAAGGACGAATGACGGAGCAGTACCTACCACACGAACCTTGGATCGCGCGCGATCATTCCTTCTTCTTCCTTATCCTAATCTTGCTCCCTTGTTATAAACACTAATTCTTTCGTGCACTACACTATCACACCTCTCGGGAGATCATTCGGAAGCTTAGAGATCGTTACCGCTTGAGAGGTGCCCCGTTGTTAAGAGACACCTGGTTAGGAAAACCCCTCAATCCGTCGTGCAAGTCAGTACTTGATCTTACCACCCAAGGAGGAAGATCACCGTCATCTCCCGTGCATGCACGAGACATTTGAGACTAATGACAACAGCGGTTGACACGCCCGGAAACAGGAGATAACTTATTTAATAGATTAACCGTTTTCAAATTTTCAATTTCATAGAAGTGAAGTTCGTAACTAAAACAACAAATGTTTACTGAAGTTTGTTATCACAGCGGTCAAGCATGTGTGCAATTTTCAGATTTGCATCTGGTCCTCTAACAAAGACATTGCAGCTGAATTTTTTTAAATCCAAAATTCCAGTTTTTAAGAGAACGTAATTTTCAAGTGGTTTGTTATTTACCAATGATATTTTACAAAAATTAACTGTACTGTTATGTGTAAAAGCTCAGAAAAAATTAAGGCTATGACTGTCTTCCTTCTTTGATAAATTACCATCTGAATATCCAATTTCGTTCATTCGCGTAGTAGGGATGAAAATAATATTTTGGTTTATTGACCAGAGTATACTGAATCCAATTCTTTGTATTAGAATCTTAGAACAAACCAGAGCTGAGTAATTTAGAAAAGAGTAAGTGTTTACAAACGCGAAAAATGGCGCACGGAGAAAAACAAAAATGGTCGTCATTTGTAAACCAGGTACAATACAAACAAATTAAAGATATTTTTGAACAGTCAAAGCATAAGGAAATGCATGTACAAAATATGATTTTTTTTCGAGAGACTAATTTATTCAACTCTGGACCACTTAAAATGATCTGACCCCTTCGTACGTCTTCCTTCGGAGGAGAAGTAAAGCTGAATGTACTATGTTGTAGATTTACTATATGTTAAAGATCCTCAATGAAGCCTCCGAGATAAATTCAAATCGTCGCCCTTCTTTCCCTGCTAGATGACGAAGGGAGCTTGGAGAAATTTGCGTGGTCTGGCGGAGGAGCAGGCCTCATGGCCTGAGCCTCGCCACGGAAAATAAGGAATCATTGATTGATCGATTTACGCGTAAGTTCACGGAAACTTACACGTGGCGCTAAAACTCCCTACTGAACAATTATCCCTATTCCTCTACGCTGCACCGGCTTAAGTGGCTAGGGCAACAATTGATGCCAAAGCAGGGCCTCTGACCGGGAGGTACTATGGTTTGAATCCCGACATGGCCGTTTTTCGACTCTGGCTACATATCTATGTAGGTCGCGTTCAAGCGCTGTCTGGAGGACGGCAAAACTGATCGATAGTCCATGGTTTCTCCGATCAACACCAAGCGATTACCGGAGCAGTACACTAACTAACAGACTATCGACCGTGCGCGATCTATCCTTACTCTTCCTTGTCCTATCTTTTCCCGTACGCTTATTGGTACTACAACACCACACATGACGAAACCAGTCGGGAGCTTCGAACTTGTCCCGGTTAGGGCGACGCCCCGCTGGTGGAATATACCTGGTTACGGGCGAAGATCACCGCCACATCCTGCGATAAAAGCATGCATCACTACTACAGGGTCTAATGACCCTAGCGCCTGTCGCGCCCGGAAACCCTAACGAATGAATCGATCCCTGTGCTTGTGTCCCCAGAACGCTCTGATGACGTTCGAAGAGGACAAGCTGCAGACGGCGCTGACGGCGTTGCGCGACGTGGAGCGGCGCTGCGCGGGCGGCGCGGGCTGGCTCAAGGTGAGATTCCACCTTCCTATTTTACCCATGTTAAATCTTGCTATTTATATATAAACGAAATGGAATGTGCACCGCAAAAACTACTCGACCGATTGTGCTGAAATTTTCATTCTTTGTTATTAATAGTAACGGGAAGAGCGGTTTAAATTCAATCGGACATGTGGGGGCGTTGATGACAATGGTTTATTTGTTTATGACGACTTAAGATCCTCTGAATTCTGCAACCCGCCGCACACTCAAGGATTAAGCGCGGTTTTACTGCAAACAAAACTACCAACCCTAATATTCTACCTATGCGTTTGTGAAATATCGGTCGGAATTATTACTTGAATCTCGGGGAAGTAAATCAAAGTTCTCCAACTGACATAGCGAGCGCATACCCACATTTGAAGGAGAACGTTTTAACAATAGGACACGTGACTATGTCGAAATCAGGACGTATAACAAAGCCGAGGGCGAGAAACTGCTTTTCTTCTATTAGGTTTGTATAACGTGACTAACATTCACGAGACCAGTGATGGGTGATGTGTCATACACCGCAAAAGCGAAGCATTGCCATGTCCACTAGTTTTTAATATTGATGACTCATTAACTCAGAAACTATTGAAGATACCAATTTAAATTTTTACTTTATATTATCTGTACTATTATTATTGTACTTATCTACATTCAAAAGGATTGCTTGGCTGGAAACTGAAATATATTTTTTGCTAACTTTCCAAAAGTAGATACACAGCAGCACATTGTTTAATAAAGTAATCTGTAAAGGTTTCAATAAAATGGGTTCCATAGTTTATGAAAAAACGGGGCATTTAAAACGAAAAACCGTTTTGAGAAAAACGCTCTTTTAGTTTTTACTGGGAATTACCCATAACATTTGTTGTATTATTTTACTTATAAACAACCTGTTCCATATTGTTATTTAAGCTCATCATTGATGATATCTAGAAACTATTTTTTCTTCTTTTTCTGGACTTTTTTGATTATTTTCTCAACTGAAATCAGTGCTTCTGTGTGTGTGGAGGAGGGAAGGTTAACGGGATCATTTGTGGAGTTTTTTGTGTACGGATAATTTGTGGAGAGATTTTCATTGCTTAACCTATTTTACACATTACACATATTGTTAATGTCAACAGTCTTTACTATTGAATCTATTTCCTTTGTCACAAACTTTTTAAAAACATTTTTAGGTTTGTCACATGAGTCGAACTAGTTGACATTTCTTACTCACAACAGGCACTCGCCGTTTTCCACTACAGTGGGAAAATATCACTTAACTTTAAAGACTCAGGAGAACAACATGCCAAATTACACAAATAAACAAGATAACCAAAGCTAAAACAACGAAAATCACAGCCTTCGAGAGTAAATAGTTTCATAACAATGTTTATGTGGCACCATGGAACTTCAGAAATGTTAGCCAGTCTGTGCTGATTCACATTTAAAATGCATTAAAAAAACCAAAAATATTGTTTTCAATTCAATTATATCAAAATGTCCAGAAAAAGTCTAGAGCAGAGGTTTTCAAACTTTGTTCGTCCACAGCTCCTCTTACTGAAACGAAACCCTCGGCTCCTCAGCTGAAAATAAGTTTCAAACATAAGGATTAATATAGGCCTACTAAATATTCAAAACAAATGAATAAGTGATACAATAGGGTATTGGTAAAGGACTTGCCAGGTTGAATTAATCCACAATTAATTAAGAAAACAAATCCTATACTTTACAAATAACATATTATAATAGTGCAAAATTATTTTGGGGAAATAAAAGACACGATGTTTCAGGTGAATCAAATCTAAAGATCACTTTTAATAAATCACCACGACACCCCCACCATATGGCAGCGACGCCCCCCGGAGCCGCAACGCACAGTTTGAAAACCCCTGGCCTACAGATAATTTTAAGATCAAATAACCAAATTCGCTTTCTTCCCCTCATTTTGCCGGGTGGAATCTGTCCTGCAGGCCTTCCGCGTGCGTGTGTTCGGCGCCACCTCCTCGTCCTCCACCGGCGGCGGGGGCGGCGGCGCGGGCGGCGAGGCGACGGCGGCGGCGGCGGCGGGCGAGGCGGAGCGGCTGGAGCAACAGGTCATCCTCGCCGACTCGCAGGTTCGGATGGCGGAAAAACGTTGACGAAAAACGAAAAGTGTTGATTGTGGGCAATTCACAAAGAAAACGAAACGAACGAAACGATATAAACGAACGGTAAAACGAAACATCGATATTTTCGAGCAGGAACATCGATGTTATAACATCCATGTATTGCTTTCGATTTTTTCTTCAGATCGATATATTTGTGCAGAAATGTTGATGTTTAAAAGAAATTAATGATATAAAACCAAATTTCCTTCTTTTTTTCCCCGGTAGATTGTTCACGATCAACAGCCATTGACAACTGTCTCTGTAGTCGATCCCCAGATAGCACGAAACCGTTTGCTATTCGCAACATTTCAGCAGTGCTATTACCTTATTGATGATTTTATTTACGCAGTGATGTAGTTAAACTGAACCATATTAAATCTTGACTACATAGAACATTGATTAGAAAATTAAGACGACAATCAAATGTAAGCCAGAATATTCATTAAATTAATATTTACGTGTTATGTATCACATTAGAACCAGAACAGTTTACTTCTGTACACTTTTATACATATATTTTTTATTTTATTCTATACATATATTTATATTCCATTTATACATATACTTTATTCTATAGAATTATATATAGAGCGTGGAGTGTGACGAGCGTGAGTGTGAGAGCGTGAGTGTGAGAGCGTGATGTGTTGAGAGCCCCGGGAGTGTTAGAGGGCGTGATTGACTAGTGTGAGGAGCGTGAGTGTGAGAGCGTGATGTTGAGACAGCCGTGAGTGTGAGAGCGTGAGGTGAGAGCGGTGAGTGTTGAGAGCCGTGAGTGTGAGAGCCGTGGTTGGAGAGCGTGAGTGTGAGAGCTGTTGAGGTGAAGAGCGTGAGTGCTGAGAGCGTGACGTGTGAGAGCGTGATTTGAGATGTGAGAGCTGTGGAGCGTGATGAGCGTGAAGCGTACCGAGGGCGTAGCGCGTCGGAGTAGCGTGAGCGCGGAGAGGCGTGAGGCGTGAGGTGAGAGCGCATGAGCGTGAGAGCGTTGAGAGCGTGAGCGTGAGGGCGTGAGCGTCGAGGGCGCATTGAGCGTCGAGAGCTGTGAGCGTGAGGGCGAGTGAGTGTGAGGAGCGTGAGGTGAGAGCGTTGAGGTGAGAGCGCTGAGTGTGAGAGCAGTAGTGTTAGAAGCGGTGAGTGTGAGAGCGTGAGTGTGAGAGCGTGAGTGTGAGAGCGTGGAGTGTTGAGAGCGTGAGTGTGAGAGCGTGAGTGTGAGAGCGTGAGTGTGAGAGCGGACTGTGAGAGCGTGAGTGTGAGAGCGTGAGTGAGAGAGCGTGAGTGAGAGAGCTGTTGGTGTGAGAGCGTGAGTGTAGAGCGTTGAGTGTGATGAGCGTGAGTGTGAGAGCGTGAGTGTGATGAGCGTGGTGTGAGAGCGTGAGGTGTGAGAGCGTGAGTTGTGAGAGCGGGAGTGTGAGAGCGTGAGTGTGAAGAAGCGTGAGTTTGTGAGAGGCGTGAGTGTGAGAGCGTGAGTGTGAGAGCGTGAGTGTGAGAAGCGTGAGTGAGAGAGCGTGAGTGTGAGAAGCGATGAGTGTTGTCGAGAGCGTGAGTGTGAGAGCGTGAGTGGTGAGAGCGTGAGTGTGATGAGCGTGAGTGTGAAGAGCGTGGAGTGTGAGAGCGTGAGTGTGAAGAGCGTGAGTGTGAGAGCGTGATGTGATGAGAGTGGACCAAGGTGTTGAGAATGTAGAGGTGAGCTGCCTGTCAACGAACGCACTGATAAAACAGTGGGCGTGACTTCTCCTGCATTATTGTTGCCAGCATGGCGGTCAAGCAGCAGCTTGTCGAAGCCGGGTGGAGTAAACGGTAGTTGGTAGTTTCTTATTACCCAATCTCTCTATACGGCGGTGCCGCCTGAGAGCGTCGCACGACGAGGTAGGCGCCAGGGGGCTGTCTGTTCCGCGCGAGGGCCGCAGAAGGCGCGTGGCAAGCGAAGCCGACCTGCGCAGGTGGGCGGCGGCGAGGGACACGCGACTTCCGGCGGGTCGGCACAGCTGCCGGCCGGCGCGACGCCGCATTTTTTTGACCACCGTCCTTCAATTACGAATAGATCAGAGAGAAATTTGAATTCCGTATAACGTTGAAATTATTCTATTGACGCACGTACGCCATGTTGCAGATATTTCTGGGTCGATGCACTGCAGGTATCGCTCCGCACTTGTCCGCTTTCCAAAATCCTCTTAACCACTCGTCGTTCTTGAACATTGCAGATCATCCAGGCCGGGGGAGGGTAAGGAGGAACTCCACCAGTGCACACAAACCAAATACTTACCCCTTTCCTCGCTCTGCTCGCTCTTGAATCTCTACGGTATTATATCCTTAAATATTTATATTTTTTACTTTAAGGACATTTTTACAAAACCGGTACTACTCCCACGCTCCAGGTGGATCCGATTGGCTCTTACATCATCAACATCCATTGATTATATCAAGACGCGTAAGAAATTAACCATGTAGATTAACGGCAGGAACATTAACCCTTCATCCTTCACGCAGTTTTGTAAGAAATGGCCCAAATACAAAAGACAACAAATAAGATCCATTAATTTTCCGCGGAAGGTAACGCAGCTGTCTATAGCATTGTTTTGGTTATTTTTCCCCAAAAATACCAAAATTGATGAGCCAAAGCAATTTATTTTAATGTTTTGAAATAAAAATAGATTATTTTAATTTTAAGGTTTACAATGTGTAGAGTTCTCACTATATGAGAGTAGTAATTCAGTCATTCGGCTTATTGTCACCCCTCCCCTTTCTTCCCAGGTTTTCCTGAAACTACGGTTCTAAAGGCCGGCTCCACACATTCCGTATCGGCGAGTAGCAAATCCTGAGTGGTGCGGAGAGGGTTTGCACACCAGCTGCGCGAGGGTTTGGGCGAGCAGACGGGCCGCACTCGGCGAATTTGCAGAACGTGTAGAGCCGCCATTAACTGCTTTGCAGCTGCTAATGACAGCTGAGCCTGTGCAAAAGTTGAAGGTTCCAACGATTAGGTTGAAGGCCTGAATACCTGGATCACCAGTGCAGGGCTCAGTGACGATTCGCGGTGAGACAAAACAGTTAGTTGTTTCGGGTCGTGAGGGATCTTGAAGTTTCCTACTTTCCTTGAAACAATGCGACTGTATTCCGAGAAATTTCTCCATGGTAAATAAAATCCATACATAACCCTAACCATTCTTTTGCGCATTTTGGTTTAGAAATGGCCAAAACCCAGAAGCCAGAGAGTGAAAATCCGGCACACCGGCACACCCCATGATCTCTAGTGCTTACGTATTAACTGTACAATTATATTAGGCTAAAATTAAGCCGGTTTTAGTTAATTTGGTAAAGAAATACCCCCTCTCTTAGCTGCTTAAAGCTGTTAAAGGCAAGTAGCACCCAATCACGAACAATAAATCCCGCCTCCTCAGAAGTACTGTGGAGGGAAAATTATTATATGACTATTTAGCCAACTCGAGGCCCCTTCCCGTTCGCCCCACCACCCACGACACTGCCAAGCCGCCAGCGCGCGCCTCTCGGCCATCCCAGCGGGCCACCTAGGCGCATGCAGAGCCGCACTGCGCCCCCCCCACCACCCAGCGCTTCGCGCACACGTGCGAGGGGGGGGGTGGGCGGAGGGCAAATTTTAGCAAAACGTGCCATCCCCAACAGAAGGTTTCCGATGTCCATGAAAACATAGATGTTTTAAAATATGTATAAGTATATATGTAATATGTATGATATTATATATATATATAATATATATGGCATATACATATGTATATATATACATATGTATATATACATTACAATATATATATGTATATATATATACATATATTACATATATACATATTATACATTATGTTATATATTATATACA